AAGGCTCAATGTGGTGAGTTATATCAAAAACAATGAAAAAAAGGGCATGCATTAAATAAAATAAACCCTTATGAGAACTTCCGTATAAGAATTAGAAATTACACGCATGTCCTTGAAGAAATAGTCGCCAACCTCGGTCTTCATCTGCATTCACCGGTGGCATGCCGTGAGGAGAGCTCGGTGCCGTTTCTGAGCATCCGACTTACCGGAGCAACCTAGTTGAAACCCAAGAGCTTCTATTTAAAAAAAGAACACAATGATCCATCTCAGGTCAGACCAAGGAGAGGGACGGAAACATCACAAGTTCCTCCGATGCGGTCGTATCTCACCGAGCTTTATCGGATGAAAATGGAACTAGAGAACAAAAATACCCTACAATGCCATCCCCTCCGTTGGACGCCGCTCTATGGGCAAACGCTAATCACGCCAGACCTAATGCTCGGCGATCGACACCATCCTCCGGCTCGTCAACACCCTTCCAAGAAAGCCCATCGACATGGGGATCTATGAATCATTATTTCCATTGTTGATGTTGCCCCAACTTCACCTACGACGAGAAACTTGAAACACCTACAAGACACGAACCAGACACATAGATCTGGGGTTCCCCCACCCTTCCCCCGCCCATGGGCTGAGAGGTAAAGAAGTCACCGCCTCCTTGTTGCCTAGAGTTGGCTAACCTAAAAAAAAGATTTGTATCTGTCGTATGTGCCGCCTATGACTTTCTAATTGGCAAGTTAAAGGTACGTGAACTGGTTATCTTTATCTTTACCTAATAATAAAGCAAATTGGGTTTCTTTCGTCCGTATGGCATTTTTTTAGAAAAGTTCCTCTATTTCAGAGAATTCAACCCGCAGTTCTGTTTTAAGTTAAAACGAAGCGTTATTTTCGTATTTTACACAAAAGTCTCTGTCTTTTCTTGAAATCAACCCGCCGTCCGGATTTAAGTCATTTCCGAACCGTTTTTTTACATTTTTCGAAACCCCCCCTGATGTTTTAGGTAATTCATCCGCGGATCATATTTAAGTTAAACAAATGCTTTTTAAAAGCATCCATATCTTTTAAACCGTAACTCCGATTTGAACATGTTATATATGAAATTTGATTAGAAAAATATGTAGCATATGAATATGAGATTATTTTTACCTGTTAAGTATTTTTAAATACTATTTTGGAATATATTTGAGTCAAACCAAATGATTTTCTAAATTATCTGTATATTTTAAACCGTAACTTCGATTTTAACATATTATATATGAAATTTTATTAGAAAAATGTGTGTAATCTAAATATGATGTTAATTTTACCTGTTAAATATTTTTAAAATATTGTTATGGAAGCAAAGTTATAATTTATAGCGCAAGATCCGTTTTTTTCATACCGGCGGCGATGCGGATTGCAAATAAATACCCCACTATAACCATATACGAAAAAGAAAACATCGATAACTACACGTGCATACCTCTGAAAAATGTCGCAAGGGAAAACAACAGATTTCTCATCGCGAGAGTGAGAGAAAGCAAGCGAGAGAGAGAGAGAGAGAGAGAGAGAGAGAGAGAGGGAGAGGGAGGAGAGAGGGAGAGAGAGACGCCTTAGGATTAACTATATTCAACACACGTTTTTTGTTGTTTTGTGTGAACACCGAGGCCATCGCCGGCGAGGGTGAGAAGGAGGATAAGCGGCAACACAAATATGGTGCCTCACAAAAATAAAGGAGATGGACCTATTGTGGTCTTGAGTGAAGAGTGTGTGTTATGTTTTCTCTCCCGTTGCAACGCACGGGCTCTTTTGCTAGTAAAGCTAATAGATTTACCTCACGTGTTTAATTCTTGTCACCTTCAAATTGTTACATGAAATTCTAGCGTTTCGTCAGGTCCTTCATGTCCGGATTGGAGAAACATCTATGATCACTTAAAAACTAATTCGTGTCTGCCTTGCCCAAATATTACTAGTGACCTTTGGCACAATATAAACAATGGGGTGCATGAAAAAGAATTACGCACTTTGATGATGCTTTTAAATAGTATCAAATGTTGATTCCAACAATCCTCTAAAAAATAATGATGATTTCAACAAAGTTTGCTGGGTCCACACTCCGAATGCTTCGTCCATCCAACAATGCTTTGGGAGCTCCTTGTATTTGAGGTATCCTCTTTGCTGTGTTGTCCGTGTGTCATACGAATTCGCCATAATAACTCATGTGACAGTCTCATTATCGGCACATTGCATGGGCCCAAATAACCAGATAAAATTTCAGGGAGCTCCCTAGGCATTGTGCTAACCTTCATGAAAATATTTGCCTCTGGATCTATATGGCCCGGTGCGTACAAACTGAATAGTGTACATGCGACATTGGTAGTGGTCATGGGGTCAGTACAAAGCAAACGGATAAAGAAAAGAAAGAGGAAACAAGGGGGGGAATCGAAGTAAAATGGCGAAAATAAAATAGAACAATTGCAGGCCCAGTAAATGTAAGAGCTGTACAGAAATTCTAACAGAATATTGAAGATAGTTTAGACTCTTTGTGTGAACGAACAAGTCTAGCATACTGATGAAGCTCTTCCTTGCAAACTTGCGGATCTGCTTCTCTCATACTCCACAGACTGCAGTCAGATCCGTAGTTTGAACCAACTGTGTTGCATGTACAAACAAATGGCGCAAATGTTTCTTCTTCTGCGCCTTTGCCTTGAGGAGTCCAACCATGCAGCTTAATGGGCAGATATCACTTCAATGGTCTCTGGTAGCTCACATGGCCTTTATTAATTGGATAAACTGGTTGGCTGTAAAACAGATAACAGTGCAATCAGTCCCCCCACACATCGGATAAGATGACTTTTCTTCTGGCATGCATATCAGAGAATTAGCTCCCAGTTTAAATCTAGAATTGCTACCGGTTTGCTAGGGTAACATATAAGCCGAGTTGCATCACAAAAATGGATTCCTAAGCACACACACATGGGATCTAGCTAATTTTGTATAGCTAATTGTCTACTGGTACAGAGGGCGCCAGTGATATATTGCTACTTTGCTAGGACCAAATATGCCTCTTAACAAGTACACCACAAACCTTTCTATTAATACAAATGAAATGACATGCACCTGGGAAGGAAACAAATAGTTACACTACATAACATTTTCTATCTACGGCAGCAAGCTAACAGATTTTTTAATGTATATATGCATGATGAACAAGAGAACTATGATCGCCACAAAATATTTACTTGAAGATAATAAACACCAGAACATAAGCTAGTTCCCATTTGACAATGCAGAAATCCTATTGATCGCCACAAAATACTTAACTTGAAGACCACAAACATTAAGCCTTTGCTCTAGTCCACGTATGCATTATCATGTCAACATATATAGTAGGGCCATAAAAGATAAGTTATGCTAAAAATTGTTGTGCAGGAGGGTAGCTACATCTTGATTTGCAGAAGACTGAATTAAGTAAAGTCGTTGAAGATGGTACGAGGGACAGAGTAGTGATTTAACTTCCATATGACAGAGATAATACTATCAGCTATAACTAAGTAAAATCTAGGCAATATAGCTCGAAATCCATTTAAGAACTGTTCTCAGCCTCAAAAAATGAAATGTACATGGAAGTTTTTTATCTAAAAAGAAGAAATGACAAGAAATGACATTGTAACTTCTAACGTGCTGAGGACAAAAATCTAACCATCTTTCCTGATTTCTGTATCTGTTTATTAAACAATGCAATCAAGAACAGTACAAACATAAAGAACATCTTATTTGGCTTTGCAACTACAACATGGTCAATTAATAATAACTATTACAGAATGGTTGATCCACCATGATTAACCTTCAAAATAGTCTTCTCTTGCAGTTCTGAAACTGGCGATAATGATCACGGAAGACATAAGGAGGGATGAAGTTATTAAATACTAGTTTGGATATACAGAAATTCTTACATTCTCATGAGACATCTCTAGCTATTATTTGAGCTAGATCGAATTACCATTGGTAGATTACTCCTTTTGTTTCTTGAAGAGAATTTGAAAATATATTATAGGCATCTCCAATATCCAGTGAGTTGGAGTATGATTGTTATATGCTCAAAGGTGTGCAAATGATTCGCAATTCTCAACAGCACCTCACTATCTTTATTCTTTTTAAAGATGGGTAAATCGAATTACCAAAGCAAGAGAACAGTTCATAACTTAAAGATAAAGCTTAGTAATCAAGCAACCCTGAGTCGAGGGATCACCTTGCTGTGTACCAACGAACGAGGCCACAGCATGATGTAGGGATAGGAAGCATCATAAAGGACACGGTCAAGCTTTTTCAGCGTCGCTGTTTCCGCGTCGAATGATGATGATGCTGCGGTGCACCACAATAAGCAGCAAAGTACACGAAGCCATCGATAATTGCATCAACACTCAGTTGTACTTTAACATTTTCCGCGTCGCACTCACACCAAACAATATGAGCTACCTCCTGCAACGGGAGCGACTTGTCCAGCATCCATCTCTCGACACCATCACCAGCTTCTGCTCTCCATATCCAAATAACTAGTGCGGACTCGGGCCTCAGTGCTACATTAGGCGTGCGCGAAGACCACACAGAGCCTTCCATCCTTGGTCTCGCCAGCCGTCAATGTTTCATTAACTCTCCTGCGAGGCGGCATATCCATCCGAAAGAATTGCATCGTGGCGGTGTTAAGCACACGGGCATCTGCCGGCGCTCCAATGGTCCAATAGATGCAGCCATTCACCACTGTACCTTGTTGGGGCCAGAGCCCGTTCATTTCTGTCCATGGGAAGATCTGCCACTTTCTGGTGTCCGATGAGAAGACGATGGCGCGCGCCCCACATTTGCTGTGCCGGACGCACACGACGCGGAACGACCGGTAGTTTTGTTCTGGGGGTGAGGATGTGGAATTCAACATACAAGTCCTCACGGCTCTGGCGGGGCGGCAGGGGAAAGATGTCCATGGTCCGCGTGAGCGGGTTGTAGGCGGCCATCTGCTCGGTGCTTCAGTTGCCAAGAAGAACGAATCCGCCGCGGCAGTCGCAGATTGACCACTGGAAGACGGCATCCTCCTCGTCCTCGCCTTCGGGGATGGAGCATCCTCGTCGTCGCCTTCGGGGACGGAGACGGCATCCTCGTCGTCGTCTTCACGTACGCGAACGGAGACGGCAACCCCGTTATCTTCCGGGACAGGGACGGGGACAGGAACGGAGACACAATCTTCCTTGTCGTCTTCGGGGACTGGGAGGCGGGTGAGGAAGAAATCGGCGCCGCGGACGGCTGCGGCGAGGTCTGGGTCGGGAAGACGGCGGAGAGGCACGAAGGCAGGGCTGACGGCATGTTCTATGCTGAGGAAGAGACCTAGGATTGGGGGAGGGTGGAGCGCGCGGAAGCGGCGGCGGAAAGCTGAGGATGAACGGACGGCGTCGAGGAAGGCACGGCAGCTGAGGGCGGCGCGGACGAGGCTCGGGAGAGAGAGAAGGCGGAGAAGAATCTCGCGCAGGGTGTCTTGGTCGAGGTCGCTTATGGTGGTTGGGGGTTTCTTCTTCGCCGGCGGCGAGGCCATGGCGCGCGGCGCACGCAGACACAGGAGGAATGAGGGTTTCGTCTTTGAGAACACGAGGGTTTCGTTTAGATCAAAAGGGTGGGCACTGGGCAGTGACTGACTATTGGCTTTCACGGCCCAACATGACCAGACAGCACCACCAGGCCGACAGGCAAGAAAATGGGGTCCAAACCCTAAAAATAGGGGTCTATAATATGTAAGACTTGTCTACAAATTATAATATGTAAAACTTGACTAAAAAATATGCTTTTAATTATTTTTTCTTGGCCTGAAGGAACCTTTTCCTGCGCTTTTATCAACTTAAATTTAAAAAACCAGTTCTATGCTAGCTATAATGTATATGGCCAAACACACACATACACAGTTTGTCATGAAAAAAAAAGCATATTTGAATTAATCTCCAAAAACTAGTTAACATCACTTAATTTTGCCTTTACAAGGCTAGGCTATTGACCGATTCGGCAAAACCAAAATAAAAAAAATTAAGCACACAGATTGTTTTTTTCTTTGAGAAAAAGCACACAGATTGTTATGAAGAAGCGGAGAGACTAACACTCTTGGTGCCAATAATTCACCTAAGATGAGTGGTACACTATGCATATTGGTTAGGCAATGGGCATGAAAGACTGGCGAGGGTGAGGTGGCGCTAGTTTCCTCCATTAAAATAACAAATAGCATAATCAGTTCACTACCATCAACAGAATATGGAGTAAAATCCAATATGGGCGCGTTTGGTTGCCCGCATGCAGCCCAACCAGCCTCGCGTGGGATGTGCGTGGCCTGTTTGGTTGCCTGGGCTGCATGCGTTTTGCGGCCCGCACGGAACTTAAACAGGCCTGGGCCTGGCCCCGTGGAAACTGCCGAATCGGTAGTTTCTCGCGAGCCTGGTTCGGCGCGGCCACGCGTGCGAGCCGGTTGCACGCCTCGGGCAGCGCGGGAGATAGAGGAGACGTCTCGTAACTCCCCCCACTCTCCTGTCACCACCCCGCACACCCTGTTCCCACCGCCCCTTCCTCTCCTCTCCTCCGATGGCTCCACCTCACCCACCGCCGCGCCGTCCTCTGACCCCCGTCGACCAGCGCATCGCCAGCATCCAGGAGCGCTGGCTGGCCGGGCTCCAGAACTCGGGCATGGACCTTGCGTCCGCGCTGCGAGCACCGTCCCCCATCTGCTGTCGGCCACCACGAGCGCCGGCCAATGCGGTGCCGACCGTGCCTGCTCCCCCGCCGATTCCGGACCTCGTGGTCCTGGGCTCGGTGCCGGCGCCGTCCACAGAATCGCCGCTTCTTGGGACCCCATTGGGCAGGGGTTTTTTCTTGACCCCTGATAAACCGCAAGTATATGGGATCAATGTAGCCTCTTTCGATAAGTAAGAGTGTCGAACCCAACGAGGAGCTAAAGGTAGAACAAATATTCTCTCAAGTCCTATCTGCCACTGATACGACCCTACGCACGCTTACTGTTCGCTTTACCTAGAACAAGTATGAAACTAGAAGTACTTTGTACATGTTGTTGGATAGGTTTGCAAGATAATAAAGAACACGTAAATAAAAGCTAGGGGCTGTTTAGATAAAGAAGCAATAAAGTAAATATAGCGAGTGTGGAAAAGTGGTGGTAGGAGTTGTGAAATTGTCCCTAAGCAATTAACTACGTTACCAGACCGGTAATCACTATTGCAATTCTATTTGAGTGAGAGGCATAAGCTAACATACTTTCTCTACTTGGATCATATGCACTTATGATTGGAACTCTAGCAAGCATCCGCAACTACTAAAGATCATTAAGGTAAAACCCAACCATAGCATTAAAGTATCAAGTCCCCTAATTTATCCCATACGCAAACAACCTACTTACTCGGGCCTCTACTTCTGTCACTCATGCCACCCACCATAAGCAAATCATAAACATATTACAAACCCTACAGCGGGAATCCCTCACGCTTGCGCGACACACAGGGCGCAATAGGACAACACCAATAATAAAACATGCAACTCAAACCAATCATAGCAATTCATCAATCACCGATAGGACAACGAAAATCTACTCAGACATCATAGGATGGCAACACATCATTGGATAATAATATGAAGCATAAAGCACCATGTTCAAGTAGAGGGTACAGCCGGTTGCGGGAGAGTGGACCGCTGAATATAAACGGGGGAAGGTGATGGAGATGTTGGTGAAGATGGCGGAGGTGTTGGTGAAGATCGCGGTGATGATGATGGCCCCCGGCGGCGTTCCGGCGCCATCGGAAGCAAGGGGGAGAGAGCCCCCCTTCTTCTTCTTCTTCTTCCTTGACCTTCTCCCTAGATAGGAGAAGGGTTTCCCCTCTGGTCCTTGGCTCCCATGGCTTGGGAAGGGCGAGAGCCCATCCGAGATTGGATCTATCTCTCTGTCTCTCTCTGTTTCTGCGTTCTCAAATCCTTCCCCTTCACCATTTCTTTTATATCCGGAGATCCGTAACTCCGACTGGGGTGAATCTTTCGCCTAGATTTTTCTCATAAAATTAGCTTTCTTGCGGAAAAGAAGACTGCCAACCGCCTTACGGGTGGCCCACAAGAGTGCCAGGCGCGCCCAGGGGAGGGCGCCCCCCTGTCTTGTGGCCACCTCGGACACTGTTTCACGTTGATTCTTCCTCCGGAAAATCCCAAATATTCCAAAATAATTCTCCGTCTGTTTTTATCCCATTTGGATTCCGTTTGATATTGGGTTTCTGCGAAACATAAAACATGCAACAAGCAGGAACTGGATCAATATGTTAATTAGTCCCAAAAATAGTATAAAAGGTCACCAAAAGTATTTGAAAGTTGAATAATATTGGCATGGAACAATCAAAAATTATAGATACGACGGAGACGTATCAGCATCCCCAAGCTTAATTCCTGCTCGTCCTCGAGTAGGTAAATGATAAAAAGATAATTTTTGATGTGGAATGCTACCTAGCACAATCTTGATCATATATCTAATCATGGCATGAATATTAAGACACGAGTGATTCAAAGCAATAGTCTATCATTTGACATGAAAACAATAATACTTAGGGCATCCCAACAAACAATCATGTCTTTCAAAATATTAATGCTTCCAGAACGTTATCCCTACAAAATCATATAGTCTTTTATGCTCCCTTTTCTTAACACAAGGTACCCCTCATGCCTAGTCCGGTGTCAGCCAAGCAATTGTTTCATACTTTAGTATTCTCAAACTTTTTCAACCTTCACGCAATACATGAGCGTGAGCCATGGATATAGCACTATGGGTGGAATAGAATATGATGGTGGAGGTTATGTGGAGAAGACAAAAAGGGAGAAAGTCTCACATCGACACAGCTAATCAACAGGCTATGGAGATGCCCATCAATTGATGTCAATGCGAGGAGTAGGGATTGCCATGCAATGGATGCACTAGAGCTATAAGTGTATGAAAGCTCAAACTGAAAGCTAAGTGGGTGTGCATCCAACTTGCTTGCTCATGAAGACCTAGGGCATTTGAGGAAGCCCATCGTTGGAATATACAAGCCAAGTTCTATAATGAAAATTGCCACTAGTATATGAAACTGATAATATATTAGACTCTCTATATGAAGAACATGGTGCTACTCTGAAGCACAAGTGTGGTAAAGGATAGTAACATTGCCCCTTTTCTTTTCTTCTTCTTTTTTCTTTTTTTGGGTGGGCTTCTTTGGTCCCCTTTTTTATTTAGGCTTCTTTGGCCTTTCCCCTTTTTTTCCTTTTTTTTCCTTTTTTTCATGGGGCAATGCTCTATAATGATGACCATCACACTTTTATTTACTTACAACTCAATACTACAACTCGATACTAGAACAAAGATATGATTCTATATGAATGCTTCCGGCGTGTACCGGGATGTGCAATGATCTAGCGTAGAAATGACATCAAAAACGGACAAGCCATGAAAACATCATGCTAGCTATCTTACAATCATGCAAAGCAATATGACAATGAATGCTCAAGTCATGAATATGATGATGATGGAAGTTGCATGGCAATATATCTCGGAATGGCTATGGAAATGCCATGATAGGTAGGTATGGTGGCTGTTTTGAGGAAGATATAAGGAGGCTTATGTGTGATAGAGCGTATCATATCATGGGGTTTGGATGCACCGGCAAAGTTTGCACCAACTCTCGAGGTGATAAAGGGCAATGCACGGTACCGAAGAGGCTAGCAATGATGGAAAGGTAAAAGTGCGTATAATCCATGGACTCAACATTAGTCATAAAGAACTCACATACTTATTGCAAAAATTTATTAGCCTTTGAAACAAAGTACTACGCGCATGCTCCTAGGGGGGAGGTTGGTAGGAGTTAACCATCACGCGCCCTCGACCTTCACGCAAAGATAAACAATCAAAATACAATGCGCGCCAATTTCGTTACATAGTTAATAGACCATACATGCATGCTTTGGGAATCACAAACCTTAACACCAACATCCTTACTAAACACAACCATCTACTAGTACCTCCCACATATTATCACCTCTATATCGCAAAACTATTGCAAGGAATCAAACATGTCATATTCAGTGATCCACAAGTTTATGTAGGATTTTATGACTAACCATGTGATTGACCAATTCCTATCATCTCTCTAAATAGATATAAGTGAAGCAAAAGAGTTTAATTCTTTCTACAAAAGATATACCCATTCTCTAACAAGTATAAGTGAAGCAAAAGAGCATTCTACAAATGGCGGTTTTCTATGTGAAGAGAAACATGCAATCCAGACTTCAAATGATATAAGTGAAGCACATGAAGCATTCTATAAAGACATACTCAAAATATTTAAGTGAAGTGAAATGAGCATTCTATAAATCAACCAAGGACTATCTCATACCAGCATGGTGCATAAAATAAAAATGAAAACTAAATGCAAAAGACACTCCAAGACTTGCACATATCGCATGAACGAAACGAATATGAAAACATACCAATATTTGTTGAAGAAAGAGGGGATGCCTTCCGGGGCATCCCCAATC